GATTCTTAGTACAAGCTGAGGCTCAGGTTCCACTAACCAAAACTGGTCAACACTCCGGCGCTAAAGACAGGTCTGGCCGCTGCTTAAGTAGTGGGTCTCCTAATCAGGTGAATCAGCCTCAGGTGTGTAGGTGGCTTCATCTCAGGAGACCCAGGGCGCTCTCTGCTGGAGAAAGGTGGCAGATCACAAATCCCAACAGATATCATGTTTCAAAATAAATGAAATGAAATTAATTTGGACTTTTGTAAAATGTTTTTGATGTTGGTAAAATAAAAAAGACACAGTAGACCTTTTAAAACCATCTAAATCCAAGTATTCACATAGTTCATTTATTTTCTCATACAAACACCAATAAACTGATACAACTGAACAGATATTTATTCTTTGACAAATGTTGTATTTTTTTCTCTACATTATCAACTCTACTCTAAACAGACTTGAGCTGCAAACATTTAAATAATGAATTATTGGTTTGTTTTCATGATTTAGGTGGAAAAGTTCCTCCAAACCATTTGAGAATAACGATGATTGGTGGATCATGGGGTGGAAAGAGCTCAGCAGGAAACATCATTCTAGGAAAAGAAGCATTTGGTGTTAATAAAGGTCTTGGAAGAAAGACAACAGTCAGTGAAATCAGCCACAGTGTGGTTGAAGGAAGGCGGCTCACAGTGGTGGATTCTCCTGGGTGGTTCTTCATCCACACCCTTCAGGACACCAGTGAGATGGACAAACTGGAAATAGAGAACAGTGTGAATCTCTGTCCTCCAGGACCACATGCTGTGCTGCTGGTTATTCCTCTGGCAGTCAATGCTGATCCATCATATCTGAGATCTATCCAGGAACACATGAGTCTGTTTAGAGAAGAAATCTGGAAACACATACTGGTTCTGTTTACCTATGGTGACTGGTTAGGAGGGAAGACTGTGGAGGAGTATATAGAGAGCGATGAAGGTCTGCAGTGGATAGTGAACAAGTGTGGGAACAGGTATCATGTTCTGAACAACAAGGACCACAGTGAT